ATACATTTTTGAATGCAATTGTGACATCAGTTCTACCACAACCAACAAATTTGCCATTATATATTCAGTGTACTTGGTTACCAAGGCAACAAAGACCATGCAGCCTAATATGTGAGATGTGTTAAGAAAAAAGACAAAAAAAATCAAGGTAAATTAATTAAGTTTTATATTTTTATTGTCCAACACAATACATAATTTGTGAATTGATGGAAATGTTTATGACGTTTTAGTAAGGCTGGACAATAATTCAATATCAATATGTATCACGATATAATTTTTTTCAATAACGGGGATATGATTTTTAAACACATTTCCGATATTTCGATATACAGTACATTACCAGTGTTTCCCATACATTGATTTATTTGTGGCGTTGATTTCTGAATGATTTGTGAAGGATCATGTGACTGGAGTAATGATGCTAAAAATATAGCTTTGAAATCACAGGAATAAATTACATTTGAAAATATTTTCAAATAGAAAACAGTTATTTTAAATAGTAAAAATATTTCAAAATGTTACTGTTTTTGCTGTATTTTGGATCAAATAAATGCAAGCTTGGTGAGCAGAAGAGAATTCTTTAAAAACATGAAAAATCTTACTGTTCAAAAACTTTTGACTGGTAGTGTATGTTAGCCTATAGTTTGAAGTTAAAGATATTCATATTAATTAGGTGAGTCTGAGACGATTATTTGACAGTGATTTCACATTTCGTGTTTGTATGAAGGCTAAATAGCTACATATAAAAGGTGAACATTAATTTATTTGTGCTGGTTTTTTTTCTAAAATATTATATGGTTTTATATGAGGTGTCATAGACTTGGCATATTCATTTTTCATAAGTTTGTTTGCACAGACATCTATTTTGGGCGTTCTTGGCAGTTTTTCCGAGGCTTTTTTTAATAGTGTTCATATACCGGAATTATATCGTATTAAGAAATATATTGTGATATAAATTTTGGCCATATCGTCCAGCCATATGTTTTAGAAAAATGACTGAATTCTCCTGTGATGTGTATGTCTACTGTTGGAAATTGTTAGTGGACAAATGAAACTACTGAGTGCAGAAAGTATGTTTTTTTCCTTAAAAAAAAGTCCACAGGGCTGAAAGTAGCTGTAGTTGAGTCATCAGTCTACCAAATTACTCACTGAAGTCATCATAGCGGTTACTGGATGAACATCTGTAGCATAAAAGTGCTGCAGTAATAACCACTAAACCATGGGTCAAACAAAAAGCAATACTTCTGACAATAGTTTCTCAGAGCAACTGTTTGCTGCTAGCACGCGTGTGAATGAGTCAGTGAGTGTGAGTGTGTCCATGCTGCGTCCATCTCTGCCAAACTGACAAAGTGACTCCAGCCGCTCTCCTTCGGCAAGCTGCTGCGGTACATGGTGAACAAAACACACCAATCTCCACAAGCGGCCAGCTCTCCCTCCCGCGCATTCTCCATCCGTACCACACCACCTAATGCTGCCCACGTCTCGGACCACGTGCCGGTGCCCAGGCTGCGCTGTAGCGGCTGTGGGCGCTCGTGCCCAGGCGAGCTGGTGCCGCTTGGAGTGCCCGGCGTGTGCTGGAACGCGACAGCCCGCTGGTCCCAGGGCACCCATCACATGCCCATCTTTAAGCCATCTGCAAAGTAGAGCAGTTCCCGCCAAAGCATTAAATTAAATCCTTGTTTGGGCTGATTAACAAATGGCCTTGTTTTTTTGTGTTCCGTGGGCTTGGTTTTTCCTCCTGTCCTGCTGAAGCTCCATCACGTCAGAACGAGCGTGGCAGAGGCAGTGAGCCTTCGGGAAGTCTCAGGAGTGGCTGGGATGTTTTGGGGGGAAGTTTGCTCAGGATCGCGTCTGTCTCGAAAGCGGCCCGTCCAATTCTCCGTCCCACAGCCATCAGGCTGTCACAGACCACAGACAAATGAACAATTAATCTGGGCTTGTAATTGAATGGCACCCGGTATGATATTTTAATTGTTCAATTGGAGCTGTTTGGATCTCAGAACTTAATTGGAATGGGGTGATAGGGACTTTGGATGTCCTGTTGCATATTTGCTGGCGATTGCTCAGGTATTACCTGCAAGCTTGTTAGTCAGAGAATTTGTATTGCTGTGCAGTTTCTTAGGCATAATCGTTGAAGAATCGACGGTATTGAAATGGCCTTGTTTTTTTGTGTTCCGTGGGCTTGGTTTTTCCTCCTGTCCTGCTGAAGCTCCATCACGTCGGAACGAGCGTGGCAGAGGCAGCGAGCCTTCGGGAAGTCTCAGGAGTGACTTAGATGTTTTGGGGGGAAGTTTGCTCAGGATCACGTCTGTCTCGAAAGCGGCCCGTCCAATTTTCCGTCCCACAGCCATCAGGCTGTCACAGACCACAGACAAATGAACAATTAATCTGGGCTTGTAATTGAATGGCACCCGGTATGATATTTTAATTGTTCAATTGGAGCTGTTTGGATCTCAGAACTTAATTGGAATGGGGTGATAGGGACTTTGGATGTCCTGTTGCATATTTGCTGGCGATTGCTCAGGTATTACCTGCAAGCTTGTTAGTCAGAAAATTCGTATCGCTGTGCAATTTCTTAGGCGTAATCATTTAAGAATCAACCATATTGATCAATCGCTAATCTGAACTCCACATCTAAAGGTGTTCATCACCCTGGTGCTTGGTAATAATGCTAACCAATACGACTGTTCACTTTGACCAAACGCTCTGGAAACTTGATGGTAGAAGCATCACTGGCGCCTGCCAGACCAACTGTCCGCCTACTGTTTTGGATCTAAAGAAACAAATTTCACGATTGAGAAGCCAGTAAAACTGGTTTGATGAAACAGCACTGGCTGGGTTCGAGCGACATTTGCTTTTAGTCACGCAGCCCCTTCTGTTCAACCCCTGGCTGTCAGCCGCACAGCGAATGTACTGTACGCTGGTTAACAAGACATCATGGCAGATCCAGGATCAGATCGTTGATTAAACTCTTTGCTTTGCGTTTGTCCATAACTGATCCACCAATAACAAGAATAATGTTGTGTGTGAAAAAAGAGAACCCCTGTATTATATTATATTATTATTATTTTAATTTTATATTATTATAGTGTCAGAAAAAGAAAATTAGAGACAGTTGAGAGGGGAAATTGACAGTTGATTCTACATTTGCCATTTGAGCACCACAGCATGCCTGGCCAGTTTTTTATAAGTCATAGAAATAAAGCTGCTTTGAAAAATCAACAAGCCCTCTTACTAAAGTTTTATCTGTAGAGAAAATACCTTGGTCAATGATAGACGGTCGTCATAGCGATCATGCATAAATTTATCCATGTGTCGACTCACAGCCCACTTTTATCCTTCTACCCTTTTCCTTTCTTTTTTGTACCTTTTGATTGGAAGGTGGATGCCTCTGTTCAGCTGTTCCCTCCTACCCAGCGATTCCTCTTCCTCATTGAGGCATACCGGCGAAGACCTCCGTCTCCTCAAATTAACATGAGCAGGTGTTTTTCTCTGATGTGTTAATTAGGAGAAGCTGGTGTCATTATGCTTTAAGTGGATGTTACAAATAGAACATGTTGTTTATTTTCTCTTCTGCTGAAAAAAAGTGATCAGAGCTGTCACGAGGCTCATGTGTCACTTAGAGAAGATCGTGGCTAATTACCAGGTGTTTAGAATCAGAAAGTACATGACTGTGAATTCTCCTGCGTCTGCTCTTGAACGAATACCAGATTGTCTATCTTAATAAATATGATTTAAACAGTTGAATCCTGAGGTTAGATTCAGCATATTTTATTGAATGATTGTGTAGCGTTATGGCTTAAACAATGACAAAAAAAAAGGATATGTTTGTGTTTTGTTTTGATATCCCTCAATTTATTTTTACAAACTTTTAAAAGATTTTTTAATTAGCTTTTTGCCTTTTTTCTCTCTTTTCTCATTTACTCTCCTTTTTAATGAACAACTTAAACTTTGCACCTCGCACAAAGTTATTGTATGGCTTCAGAATGCTTGAAATAAAGCATACATGTTGGACTGCTTTTGTAGTGATAGTTTTGGATGACACAAGGAACAAAACCAGAATCAGAATCAGAATCAGAATCAGAATGAGCTTTATTGCCAGGTATGTTTACACATACGAGGAATTTGTTTTCGTGACAGAAGCTTCCACAGTGTAACAGAATGACAGTGACAGAACAAAAAACACAGATATCATCTTCTCATCTTGAGGTATAAATTCACTACATGCTATGAAATTTCCTTGTTTCCCTTGTGTTTACCACATGTTGTGATTGACAAGCAACAGACAAAATGCAATGTATTCGTATTCAGAAAACGCAAAATCAAACATTTCATTGTTCACTATACAAAATTGCAAATTAACAAGTGTGTTTGGTTTCAGCATCCAGCATGCATCACTCAGCAGGCAGATGTTGTGTGCATTATCACTCTTGAAGCCTGTTACTAGACTCTGTGTGCATGCGGCTTTGCCGCCCGTGTGGTGATGCTGACACCCTTGTAATCCTGCTGTTTACTATTAGATGGCACAGGCTGTTGCACCAGAAGTTTTGCATGATAATATGGCGTGACCAGCTGCTCAGCAGATGTTGTTTTTTGCGACTTTAGCATAGATAGGTTAAAGGTGTCTCTGCTGCCCCTTGTGTGGATTCTCTGACCTCCTCTGTGGTGCGTTTCCGCACGCATTTTACTGTAAGCCGACTTGGTGTCACCAGCCCTGGTTTGTGTTGTTCTAACACCTGCCCTCGGGTTTAGGCAGATGATGCAGTAGCTGACAGCTGGACTAGCAGTGGTAAACATGTTAACATTTTAATCCTGTGTTTAGTCATTTGCAAAGTCAAAATTAAGTCAATTCAACAGATAAGCACCATCTAATCGTGTTCATTCTGTGTTTGGGATATTAATCTTGTGAATTTGATGCATGCACCCACGAAACAATGAGGGTTTTTAATGAAAACGGGTAATTTGTTTTCCCGTAGTTCTATGTAAAAGAAAAAGTGTGAATGGGAGGTTGAGTTTTTAGTGTGCATGTATGTGCACAAGCAGTTTGAGGTCATGTGTTTTATTACTTTGCCATTTAAATATACATTTCTTCTTTTCCCCAGGTGAATATATTAAGAATTGGAGACCTCGCTACTTCCTGCTAAAAACCGATGGGTCCTTTATCGGATACAAGGAGAAGCCACAGGATGCAGATCTACCCTACCCTCTCAATAACTTCTCTGTTGCAAGTAAGTGATGCCTTCAAAGCAAGACAAGTAAAGTACACCTTTTTTTCTTTTGTGAGCTCAGTCTCCATGAATTAACTCAAGAGTGGATTCAATGATCTGTATTGAATCCAAAATAATGTCCATATGCTAATTTGACAGCTAACATTGCTAGCACAAATTAGCACAATGTGATTTTGAATTGTCTACTGTAGGGATAATTTCACATTTTATATTTTTCATGAACTCAAATTTTATAATGCTAGTCGTAATTTAAATTTCTCTCTGCCCATTAGAATAAAATAAAATATTTGCTAATGTCCCTTTAAATTACGAACATGTAAAATAACCTTTGTTATGATGCAAAGTTTGTGGTACATTTTTAAAGGCTCACAAAACAAGTTCAGAAATGTACCACTCAAACTGTTAAGGCAAATCTGAAATGATCAAGGATCACTGAAAATAAACTTCAGCCACTCTTTTCTATTGCCGAAATCCTTCCAGATGTGCAAAAATTTGATTAATTTAGCCTAAATTCAGTTTCACCTCATTCTTCTTATCTGAGTTTTTAAAATGATTTTAGTGGAATAAAATCAGCAAAAGCAGTGACTTATTTCCTCTGGAACACAACTCAACCTCAAGCGTGTGGCTTTTAGTGCTGGTTTCTGGACACGTGCTGCGAGCAGCTCCCCAACCCTCCATCCGTCAAAAGGCCCAGCCAGGTTTTAATCTAAAGGCTGGAGGAGCGAGGGCTGGCCATACATCCGGCCTGTGCTGCTTGGCAGTGGAAGAGGATTGCCACATCTGTTGCAGAAAGCTGGGAGGCCAGGTGGTGCTGGGAGGCTGATAGCCTAATGCTCTCTCTGAAATGGCATCGCTCTCACCCCCTGTGCAACGAGCTGCCACCAGACTGCCTTCCTCCGGACCGCTCTCTCAGAGTCCTGTACACAGCCTGACCAGCCCTGCATCTGCTTCCTAGTATACCACAGTCCATATTGACCAATTTGTCTTTTTTAACAATGATTGCAGCATATGACAAATCGCTTTGCACGGTGAGATCCACCAATTTGTTCCGTTTAGATCTTTCACCACCAAAGATGGAAACGCTGCCTTATAAGTACAGCTGGATTAAAAAAAAAAAAATGTATAAAGGAAGAACAGGAAATTTTGACAGATATGTTTATATAAATGTATATGTATATAAAGATTTCTATTTCAAATAAATTCTGTTTTTTTTTTTTTTTTACTTTCCATTCATCAAGGAATCCCAAATAATTTCTTAAGCAGCAAATCAGCATCTTAGAATGATTTCTGAAGGATCATGTGACACTGAAGACTGGAGTAATGGCTGCTGAAAATTCAACTTTTCCATCACAAGAATAAATTACATTTTAAAATGTATTAACATAGAAAACAGGTGTTTTAAATTGTAACAATATTTCACAGTATTACGGTTTATCCTGTGTTTTGTCTTAGTGAGCATAAGAGACTTCTTTCAAAATAAACTGACCACAAACTTTTGAACGGTAGTATTCAAGTGTAAGGAAAATATGAAACTTTGTTTTTTAACCCTCTAACCTTTTTCCTTCAAAGCCAGTTCTCGCTAACATTTACAGAGCTGAATGCCATGTTTTGTCTCCTGATGTTTTTGTGCATTGGCACCCTCTCAACCTTATTTTGGACTTGAGAAAACCTTTAAGTGATGTTGCATGTTGCAAGCAGCGGAAGTCACAGCTTCTGGGCTGTTTAATTGGCATGCTAGCTTTCCTTAGCGACTCTTGCTTGAAGCAATGCTCGTCATCTGTGATCTAATGTGGCAAAGCAAACAATACTGTCAGCTCTGCCTCCTCTCCTCCTGAGGTGTCACATTCTGGCTGCTGTGACCTTGTTTTTCTGCACTCAGCGTGGGACTCGATTTTCCCCCTACTGCCCAGGTAGATGTTCTGTTCAGTGCATGACTTCGTGACCTTAGCGGTGTCATCATTAACCTTCCTGTCTAAATTTAGGCCCTGCCGTCATTCAGAGGTGGCTGAAATTGGCAGACTGAGGGCCCTCATTATGGGACTGCTGTTGCGTTTCACCTGTCGTCTGGGCATTGTCCCCAAAATCTGCAGCGGCGATGAGCCCAGTCTGAACGTCACCTCTGCCCCCTGCTACTTTCATAAAGTATCTGAGAAATGCATTACTTCCCTCTGACTGGCCAGTGGCTGATGTGGCAGAGCTAAGCGCTGTATATGAAATGTTGCACCACATTCCAGCAAATATACCTCTCGCTCGTTCATCTCACCGTGGCACTCTCCCACCCGCTGCCTCCTCTCTGCTAATGGCCATTTGTTTTACATTGGACACGCTGATCCACTCTGTTATCAAATAAAACGCTCTGAAAATGGCAAACACTTGCAGCCTGAGAGTTAGAAAGTGGGCTGGGTTTACTTTAGTATTCAGGTCAGATTTCTCCCTGCCTGTATATTTATATTGCGTCTGCGTTCTTTGTTTTTTTTTTCTCATTGTGTACATTAAATTTAATGTGGCTACTATTTCCTTTGGTCTGTCATTCCAGAATGCCAGCTGATGAAAACTGAACGACCAAAGCCAAACACTTTTATTATTAGATGTCTACAGTGGACTACAGTCATAGAGAGGACCTTCCACGTGGACACACTAGAAGAGAGGTGAGTCTCTAATGTAGAAAACACAACTATTCAGAGCATCATTATATGCCCATTCCAACAACAATGTACAGTTGGCAACCTTTTTAATGTTATATAGTTGCTACAAGTAAACAAAACTGTTTATTTGGCCACCACCTCATACAAAAATTACAAAAAAACTCTACTTACTCATTTTAATTGAAAGCATTAATAATGACCATAGTAGAAAACAATATTACATTCGTAATTGCTTTGCTGATAATGTAGTGATTACATTTATATACAGTATTTAGCAGATGCTTTAAGCAATTCATCACAGATATATCACAGTGTACAATGCCAGGTTTATTAAAAAGCTAGATTAGGAAAATAAGCAGTGGTGAAATGCAGAAAAGAAGAAGAGGAATTTGTGTGTTTATGTGTTTTGTGTACCTACTCACATTTTTATGACAAATTTGTACCAAGAAGTGAGCTGAACCTGACAAAACGTCCTTTTGGGAACTCCTCATTTGTAAAAAAAAAAAAAAGAAAAGAAAAAAAAGAAAAGAAAGGTATTAAAATAGTAAATAGAATAAATAAATACATTTTCTGTTTTCTGTAATGCTGTGTGTGTTATAGTTAGGTTAGCTAAGTAAACATGTTTGGTTTAAAGTTGTGGAGTGGTTAAGTGCTTGCAGAAGAGATAGTGAAGCTTAAATAAATGGGTGAATGGGTGATGGTTTACTGACCCTATTCTGGTTCTGGAGCCTTATGTCCTTTCTTCAATTTGAAGTCTCTGTGATTTTCTTTGGACCGTATCTGTATACACCTTTCCTTAACAAGCTACATGATTTGATTTTGTGAATTTACCCTACATATGAACAATAGTAATAGTGATGCTCGCCTTTAGCAAACACAAATATTAATTTTCCCATCAGCTAGAGAAAAGGCAACCCAAAAAGTTGTTTTACCAAAACACTGGCTCACATTATGAGCTGATCCTCTTTTAGATGTCAGTTCTTTTTAAATCTATAGACAACAAAGCATGTCCCATAAGAATGTAAGTGACAATGAACTGTCAGAAAGACAGAAAAACATCACATACATGCATTATTTGCATGTATAGAAGAACCAGAATCATTAGAAAATTTGACAGCCAGACAGTGTCCACTTAAGTTGAACTGTATATTATTATAATCTGCATTAGTTTTCAATTATTCAGTTGGCTGACAAATATGCTATTTTTTCTTGATTTGAAGTGCAAAAAACACTAACTTTTAGGAGGTTTAGGATTTTCTTTTCAAAAAGTAAACCTATTTTGTTTTGATTTTGATACTGTACCATTCAACTCTGATAACTAGGATTAGTTTTCTCCCCTGTCCAAGAATCTGAGAAATATTTTCCTATTATTGTTGTCCGTATCTTTTTGGGGTCACCGAATAATGGTTGAGCAGACCATATAACAGCGTTTGAAAGAGACTGAGAGAACATCTAATCACACAAAAGATATGAACAGACACTGAGCCGTTTATCCTCGTACTCCTAACTTGCTTGTTTATCTATCACAGGGCATTGCAGTCCAATGCACACTTTGTGCCCCCCCCCCCCCCACCCCCCCCCACCCCCCCCCCCACACACACACAGCTCTGAACAGGAGTGGGACACGGCGTACTGGCAGAGGCCCAGAAACTGCGAGCCTACATGTGAGGAGGAGAGATGTGGCGACAGCTGGCATAATGCCAGACTGTATTCAAAGCCTTTATCTCTCATTAGCAAAAACCGCTCATTATACACCAAACCACTCCACACACATTCATCCACACGACCTTGAGAGGTTGTGCAGGGCACTTTGTATATGTTACTGTGTTAACCCAATAGATCTTGAATTTGCTTTGGGATTTCAAATGCACCACATTTGGAATGTAACATCCGCTATGGGGTTTGTAGCTTCCACTGAAAAAAAGAGCCAGAATGGAAATCCATACATTATGTTGGAGATAATAAATATTTCCATCTCTTATTCTTTTTGAGGGTTCTCCACTAACAAATGGCAATGCACAAGAGTGCAAGTTTTCAAACTCTGCCTGGTAGGGTTGGATCAATACCAAAATTTTTGCTTTGGAAGGCCTGCCTTCCGAAAAAATAAATGTGTTGTGATTGGTTAGCTGTCCCAGTGCGTTGTGATTGGCGAACAGCTTAGACGGTGTTTCAGTACTGCCCCGCCCCTTGCCAAATCAGCAAGTTCCGTCTGCTCCGGTATAGTTAAGGATGGCGTCAATATTGCCATATCAATTTGAGCCGGATTCAAACCCCGAGAATATTGAACAAGAGGATCACGCAGAACCTTTGCACGCTTGGATATTGCAAGACATATTAGAGTGGTAACGTTATTGTTGTTGTTGTTTTTTTGGCTAACAAACGCGTTTCTTCGACATGGTGAAAACTTGATGCTACAGCAGCTCTTCTTCTTCGTTTTCTCTGATGCACTAACTCTGGAATGTGGTGCAACTCTGATGCACTCAACCAAGAGTTCTAACCACGACCTCGCCCCTCCCCACCCCCCAACCATTCGAATTTCCGTAGGCGGGAATTATTTTAATGATATTCTAATGGGCCGCTTTGTGACATCACAATACCTCGGAAAACAACGCTGTAGTCCAAACCATTCATTGTAGTTCTTGAAAAGGGATTTTTAAAAAAATGAAATATCTCCCTTTGGAGTGGACTTTGAGATTTGTAACTTTGTAGATCTTTATTATGCCCAAACATACACACTACACACTGACTAAAATTCAAAAAGTGAAAAGCATAATAGGACCCCCTTTAAAACATTCAGTTCATTTTGGATGACACGTAATGCACGTGAACTTCACTGTAAGAAGCAGTTGCAACAGAAAAATGGGGTCGGTATGATTTCTTCATGTTTTTAAAGTAGTTATGCTCACCAAGGCTGCATTTAAATGATCACAAATACAGTAAATTCAGCAGCCATTACTCCAGTCTTCGGTGTCTCATGATCTTTCAGAAATCATTCTAATATGCTGAGTTGCTGCTGAAGAAATATTTATTATTATTATCACTTTTTAAAACTTAATGCATACTTGCTGAATAAAAAGTGTGAATTCTTAAATATCTTACTGATCAACTTTTGAACATGATGTATGTGTGTATATATGTACATATCAGTTTTCATTCAGAATTCTTGCAATTCTTGCAAATTTCTCTAATACTCTTCTAATACCATCAAAATAGACCAGCATAGCTAGACTGGGCAGGCTAGGAGACAAGATAACCACCTTAAACTAAGCTTTTTTTTCAGCATGTTGTTTAAGCCGGGTACTCAAATTTGATAAATTATGATATTATTATATACCACTGTATACTTGTAGTACTCTGCTATACCACATAGCCCTACTCTCTGCTTCTGTGAAATAGTGAGAAACTGCTAGCTTCGCTCAGATGAATCCATCATTATTAAATTAACACATGCTCAAAAACATGAATGCACCACTGATTCTTCACAACAGATGTTGTGCTGCACGACAAATGAAAACTCAATGGAGGGAGACACTATTCGCAGAGAGGGGCGGCTTCCCCACTCATATTAGATTATACCGTCACCTAGTGAGAATGGCCTTGCGAATTACTCAGATGGTCTGGCCTGGTGTCTTCAACAAAGTAAAAAGGGCACATTCACATTTCAGTTTACATTTATAAGTGAACCATGTGTTCGTTTAGTGTGTCTCAAGTGTATTCTTGAAGTATGAAGAAGTGTTTTATTGTTTTAACAAATGGCTTTGTGTGTGTTTCCAAAGGGATGAGTGGGCAGAGGCGATCCAGATGGTGGCAGATAAACTCCAAAGACAGGAAGAGGAACGTATCCAGTGTAGTCCCACCTCACAGATAGACAACATGGGAGAGGAGGAGATGGACACATCTATCAGCCATCACAAACGCAAGGTGCCTTCAAATACAGATTTGGATGTTTGCTGCAGACATCATAAGCCTGGGACATTAGGAAGCTGAGTGGTACAAATCAGCAAATAGTTCAAGGAATTAAAAGAATAGTTCACTTAAAAATGAAAACTGGCTAAACATTTACTCACCCTCAGGCCATACAAGATGTAGAGTTTGCTTATTGGAACAGATTTGGAGAAATTTTGCATTACGACACTTGGATGGATCCTCTGCAGTGAATGGGTGCCGTCAGAATGAGAGTGCAAACGGCTGATAAAAATATCACAATAATCCACAAGTAATCCACATGACTTCAGTCCATCAATTAATGTCTTATGTGTTTTTAATGAACACATCCATCAGGGCGATTTAACTTTAAACTGTCGCTTCTGGCCAAAATACGACTCCATAGTCTGTAATGACGCTTCCACCAGTGCATTTTCAGTAAATTTTCTACAGATTTTCATTGTTGGGTGAACTATTCATTTATGGCCTGTTTCTGTGCCTGATAGTAGAGTTTGGATGCTGAACCCAACATTACATGATGAACTAAGCAGCAGAGACAATGAAAATGCACTATAAACCTGTTTATCAACATGATCTTTTGCTATACAAGCAATATAAAGTTGTCAAAAACTTCTCAGACATTGTTCGATTCCAGATTATTTAAGCAGTTTGTAGCTGCTCTTTAGTGTTTGGGTTCTGTCACTTAAATTTGATCCCCTCCTCATGTAAATTGGATCTCATGATAATCAAGGTTTGTTCTGGCACACTCCCAAATAACCGTTTTATAATTGATTCAAGAAATACTCAATGTAGTAACCTAGAAATCACTCCGCTGTCAGTGTGAAAGCTCAATGCACGCCTACAGCTGCAGTTACGCTGCAGCCCTGCAGATTCAGGATACAGTATATGAAACAGACCTTATGACTCAATTGCACAAAATTAGGAAACTCTCTCGATAATGTCTTTTAAGGCAGTGTATTTCTGGGAGTTTCATCATTTTTAAACAACAAGCTAATGTACAAACATGTCAGTGTGTTGGTGGCAGTGAAGTCTCTAAGCAGCAGGATTACATCCCTGCAGCAGAGATGTGAGATGTGGACGTATTCTGATTGGGTCTATACCCCAATTATATGCACTGCATTTCAGTAAGTCTGACAATTTATTGCTTTTTTCTTTTTTTTTGCAGACAATGAATGACTTTGACTACTTAAAATTATTGGGAAAAGGCACTTTTGGAAAAGTCATTCTTGTAAGGGAGAAGGCCAGCGGGAAATATTATGCAATGAAAATTTTAAGGAAAGAGGTTATTATAGCAAAGGTAAGAATCATGAGGAATATTTTTTTTTTATAAACTTGAAGATGAGAAATGTGATTTCATTAAGGATAAGGCATTTTGTGCTGTACGTTATTTAGCTAGGTTTAGATAACAGAGTTATGGTTAATGAAATTTAACGTAGTTATAAAAGTGTAATTTTAATCCCATGCTTTTTTGAGAAGCTTTGTAATAAAATCCTCAGTAAATCCATGACTTCACTGTGCACATGCACTGTAAGCAAGCACGGTTTATCTTGAGAAAACACAATTCATGATCCAGCTTCTCTTTCTTCCCGTAGGATGAAGTGGCCCACACGCTTACAGAAAGCAGAGTACTAAAAAACACGAGACATCCTTTTTTAACTGTGAGTGCACATTTTATAATAAACTATCATTCAGAGTGCATTTACAGAGACCTTAAAGCTCCTAGTGCTTTTGAATATATGATTGGCTTTTCCCTGGAGCCTCATTATAATGTAGAGAATAAACTGTAATAAATTAGCGGCCTAAATGTAGCTATGCGTCTGTTGAGAAGTCGCCAGTGAGAGGTAATTTTCTGACACTCCAGATGCTGTTGTATGCCACGCAACATACACAGCAGGTTTAGCAAAACAATTTACCACTGTCAGTCAAGCTGGTGTTCCCTCGTAAACTTCACCTTCCCTCAAAGTTAGCATCAAGGCCTGCGAGAAAGAGTAAAGAGAAAATCTTTTCAAAACGCTTCTTTCATTTTCTCTTGAGACAAACGCTTCCCTCATCACATACATTTTGATGAGCGTCTCTCACGTTGCGTTTGTTTTAGTTTTGTGGGGTTTTTTTGCTTTTGTTTTTCTTCTAATGGTGTATCCACCTGCTGTTTCAGTCTTTGAAGTACTCGTTCCAAACAAAAGACCGCCTATGCTTCGTGATGGAGTATGTCAATGGAGGAGAGGTACGTGTGTGTCTGCATTTGTATTTTATGTCTGTCTTTTTGTCTGTGTTGGCAGACAGTCTATTTCTGTAGTAATGCCATCACTATTATCTGTTTACTGACTGTGAGGCTGTGCTGAGCTAAAAATGTTAATCTGTTATCAGAGAAAAGTTAAGTGCAAGATCATATCTTGTGATGCATCCACAGTTTAAAGAGACTTTCTCTTATCCTTTGGGAAAAATTTAATAAGTAGCAAAATTATCATCCAATATTATTAACAGCCGATAAGAATTATATTTTAGTGTCTAATAACTGATATTCAGAACCAATTTTTTAAATTGTGTTTAAAAATAATAAAATAATAATAAAAATTATTATTACTATTTCTCACATCATTTTATGCAGTTATATTGCAATCTAAATGTTTATAAATGTATTATTTTATGCACATTTGTTTTGCAACCTACTGTAAATGGATAAAAACAAAATTAATATTAAATCAATAGCAACACATATATTTTTATTTATTCCATTATTTTATGCATTACTTTATATTATTGTTTTGCGATCTAAATGGTTAGACATGTATTATAATTATTTTATGCACACTTGTTTTGCTACCTAAATGGATATAAAATGTAAAATGTCTATTAAAACAATAGCAACAAATATTTGGACTAGGTGTAACTTAAATTTCACTTGAAAATGAATGGCTGTTACATAAAAAGTTGAGGAATTATGCAAACAAGGGATAAAGTTTTTACCTGTGAACACAGTTTGTTGTTGATTGTAGTAGTGCTTACCAAATGATGCCATTTATCAGCATACTCAATATTAAACAACCAATTGCTTGTAGAAAAGTGTAAATATTGTTTAAAAAATGTCAGTCAAACTGATATAAATAGTCAAAATGATTTTAGTGGTGTTGTACGTTTAGTTCAATGCTTGTAGTTGCTCAGGATGTGCTTGGTAGAAGTTTGACAGCGTCACTCTATTGATATGGCAGAGCGCAGGATTCCATCTTGAGGGGCTCAAGTTTTGATACAGGAAATTCCACCATCAACGGTGCTGTTTAATCAGAGAGGCGGCAATCTCGCTCTCATTCCCTCAGCCTGCAATGTCACCTGCTCCCAATGCCTGGACCAGCCAGAGCCTCTAACCTCCACATGCTGCGCAGAGACCATCAGTCTCTCCCCTTTCAGCCTCGCCACATTCACAGCTGCCAGTGCTCTGATGAAGGCACACCTGTCCTCAGCCACCCTGGTCCCCGGCACGCCACCCGCTTACCCCCTCCTCCGGTTGATCAACGGAGCCGTTAGCTCTCCCCGGACAGCCATATTCAAACATCCCACAGCAATTAATAGACAGACTCTTCTCATTGGGCTTCTGGGTAATTTCTATAAGCTGGGTTCAAGTGGAGCCGAGGGCCAGACAGTTGACAGAAACCCTTGACATCTGACTCGGGAGGGAAGAGGAAGTGCGGGGCACTCCATAAAAGATACGGCAGAGATGATTGCAGGGGACAGGGCGCTCCTGCCTCTTTAATGGAGCGTTAGCCCATGAGCACGCAGCGCTGCCTTTAACAAGATTGGTGTATTGATTAAAATGCTGATTTAACAGGCCGTGCCGGCCTGTCTCTGGAAAGCCGGGGATGATGTGCCAGCTGCTGTCTGGGTTCGCTGGGCATCCTCCGAGGGCCTCGCCATCTATCATCTCAATATGGCGATATGAGGCCGTTTGTGTTGTGTTAATTTCCTCCAATAAATCAGTAATTATTGCAATCCTGTCCCTGCTGTTTACCCTGCAGCTGTTTTTCCATTTGTCGAGAGAACGGGTGTTCTCCGAGGACCGCACGCGCTTCTACGGCGCCGAGATCGTTTCCGCCCTCGACTACCTGCACTCTGCCAAGATTGTGTACCGGGATCTGAAGGTAAACAGAAAAAGGGGAAAGAATTCATATATTTAGAGAGGAGGTTTTGTTTTGTCGCGATGCCTTTATCTAAGTGTATGTCATGGGATGCGGAAAATGTAATTAAAAGCTCTAGAGTTTGGGTTTTTTTCTTTGGTTTTTGGAAACATCAAACTCTGGCGGCTGTGGATGATGACACAGTGTTTTGCTCGCAGCCTTGGACCAAGCCAGTTGTGGAAGTGCCAAGAAACTTGGACAAACAGCTTAGCCATTAAAATTAAAAGGTTAAATTAATGTGGCTTGAAGTTTCTTTCCACCTCCAGGGAATAAATATATTATCCATGTAGTTGTCTACTTTTTTATACACTTTTTTTAAAGACATTATTAAACATCATGAATTAAGGATACTAGTACACTTTAGGAACAAGTACTAACACAAGTAGGTACTATTACAAGTATTTTTATTTTTTGGAATTTATGTTATTAATCATGAAGTCAACACGCGTAAAAGCCATACAGTATGTGTTCGTTGTATTATTAAGATGTTTTAATGAAAAAGGAAGGAAAATACACTTTTATGTCAGTCATAAATTAATTCAAGCTTTCTATAAATGAAATGCATCCAATCAATTCAAAGTGCTAATTTGACGCAGATTTGAAAAGAGCTAAGTTTTGTTAACTACCAAGTTCTGTGTTTGTTGTTTTCAAAAAGTCAGCAAATCCACACTCTTTTCTTTTCTGCCCAGTTGGAGAACTTAATGCTTGATAAAGATGGACACATCAAAATTACAGACTTTGGCCTCTGCAAGGAAGGAATCACTGATGCTGCTACCATGAAGACCTTCTGTGGGACGCCAGAGTATCTGGCACCAGAGGTAAAGAAACCCCTCATGATTAACAAAACCCGCAACTATTCCAAAAACTAGGTAAACAATGGAGCATATGCAGGAGACCATGAACAAATTTATGATTTCAGATCATATCATGAGAGTCTAGTTATGGCTTGAATGATTAAATGGTCCCATTCAAATATTTAGTTTTAGCTGTCATGACATGGAGTGCCGTGCATGCAAGTTTATAGTAATATTTTGCAATACAAGCTTAACCTCTTGCTTTCTATGTGATTTAGAGCAAAAAAAAAAAAAAAAACTGCTCTCATAGCAATAATAATCAAGCTCTTAAACTACTGTGATACTGAATTAAGATGTGGCTTGCACAGCTTGTTTGGTTCAAAGATACAGTAATGATCAGGAGCTTCTTACAGTACACTGAACTGTACATCAGTGAACTGTTCAAAATCTAGAAGCTTCTAATTTCTGTGAAGCCTCTATAAAATACATTATTACTATTCTATTCATACTAATGTAATACAATCTGTTGTATGTTCTTACAAATAATTGTATTAAACAGTGATTACAAGTAATTGTTATCACTGTTTAATATGTTGCAATACTTGTCATATAAGTCTGGTTACGATTATTTAGAAGATTGAACTGATTAAAAAATATATTACAAATAAATAAATGATAAAATATAAATACATCTGTTATGCTCACCAAGGCTGCATTTATTTGATCAAAAAATACAGTGAAGGGGGGATAGATTCCACTTCGAAAAAGTACGGAAGACAATTTGGCGCAACATTTTGTTTTGCTCAGCCTGGCCGCTGTGCCAGGAGATGATTTGAGTGTTGGTTATTTTTCACAAGAGTATGTGCAGGCAGGGGGCGGCAGCGGGAGTGAAGGGGGGAATAGAATTCCACTCGAAAAAGTACGGAAGACAATTTGGCGCAACATTTTGTTTTGCTCAGCCTGGCCGCTGTGCCAGGAGATGATTTGAGTGTTGGTTATTTTTCACAAGAGTATGTGATTGCACAAAAAAGTACATGCTAAACAGAGGCAGATGGTGGCAGATGGGGAAGGTTGGAAGAAGGTGGCTGGGAAACCTGGAAATCTATACTGCCGTACTGGTGTAAAAATAACAGAGCACATCCTGAGCCAAGTTCTGGAGATGCAAAGTAGAGGGGGATTAGAGAGAGAGAGAGAAAAAAGAGAAGAGGGAGTGTGAAAGATATTTCGAGGAAAAAATATTTTCTTTTAGGGTTACAGAAGTGAAATTGGAATAGTTTCGCTTAAATTTGGCCCTCACCAAATGTTTTAAGTGTTAATGAGAATGAATGAAGATACATTTACAGAAATACTTCTCTAATAACAGTTCGCTTTCACAAGCTGTATGTCATCTGTCACTGAGTTCTCATCTGCCACATCTTTAGCATTTAGTAATTGCAGCGTTTCTACAGCATGTTTGCAACCAATAAAGCACATTATCACTGGTTTCCAGGTGTGATTCAGAGCACATTAGCTTTTTCTAAATGAGCCTCCAGGATGTGCGTTTGTCAGCATGCAGGCGTGGCTAGCGTTCGTCTTCTTGAAGGATGCAGACAGGTGCTTAGCAGCAGGTAAGCGTGCATACGGCGATCTGCGCGTGTTTACACTATGTGTGCATATATTTGAATGCACTTTGCACACCCCTATCTGTGTGCATGTGTGCAAGCGTCCTCGTGTAGCCAAAGTGGGATAAGCTCATGGAGGCTGTCTGTTCCACTGCCCTGCTGGGGAACTGGGCTGGTGGAGCCACAGGCACTCTGTCCCATCCCTCCCAGGCCAGCCTTGCCAAGGGCCCAGTCCTGGGAGCAGCAGCCCTGCCACATGGCTGTCCGAGCAGGGGCCTGTTCCTCCCCTGCGGCCGCTCCTCCTCGCCTGTGGCTCTGGAACAGGGAGACCCCAACTGGCTCTGTGTGCATTAATCGCATCCCCGCCTGCAGCCGAGCTGCTCACGTACACTCCCAGGACAAACAGCACAATACGCCCATACGTGCCGCGCACACACATGAACGGTGTCCTCGTCCTCGCTTACGCTCCTGTTTGCTTCCAGAACACACAGTTCTGTCCAGTCCTGGATTTAGACATGCATAAACACACACATTCTGTCCAAGTATATTGAGTACACTTTCACTCACACTTATTAAAGCACCCTTAGCTGTGGTAAAATCACTGTAATGCACATGAACATCTGCAAAAGATGCATTCGGTTTCTTTTTAAGAAACAATAATGTTTAGCTGTTCATTTTGGATGGCACTTAATGCATGTGAACTTCACTGTATGAAGCAGCTGCCATGGAAATATGATAAAAGATAACCATGTTGTGTAAATAATTAATTATTAGTTATAAAAACAATAAATAATAATTCCGTGAAGTAATATAGTTCAAATCAAAAATGCAAAATGTACCATTCAGCACATTTGATATGACATTTATTTATTCATTCAAATAACATACACTCTCGTTTAAAATTTGGGATTGGTACGGTTTTTTTAAGTCTTTCATAAGTCTCTTATGCTCATCAAAGTTGCATTTATTTGATAAAAATACAGTAAAAAATATTAATATTGTAGAATAATATTACAATTTAAAAGAACTGTTTTCTATTTTAATATATTTTAAAATGTAATTTATTCTAGTGATAGCAAAGCAGAATTTTTAGCAGCTGTTACTCCAGTCTTCAGTGTTACATGATCATTCAGAAATCATTCTAAGATGCTGATTTGGTACTTTTTTTTATTATTATCAGTGTTGATGCTACATAATATTTTTGTGGAAACTGATAAATTTTTTTCAGGATTCTTTGATAAATTTAATGTTTAAAAAAACAGCATGTATTTGAAATAGATATCTTTTGTAACTTTATAAATGTCCTCATAGCGTCTCTTTTAATTAATTTAATGTGTCCTTGAGAAGTAAAAATATAAAATACAGATCCCAAACTTCTGAACGTTAGTGTAGTTCAAAGCACACAATGTACCATTCAGATTTTCTCTGACATTTCTACGTGGAGTAGTCATATACACCCATCTCACTGTATGGAGGTTGTTAGCACTGTGTTCACACATGGACGTTCACATTGTGCTCCCTAATCAGACAGAGTAATGAATGCTGCGGTTGACTTATGCAGGTCTGCCTGTTTTTAAAGATCAGAGAGGAGACATCATTATAACACCACTCTGAGCATATGCTTAACTGGCTCTGTGCCAGCCAGCCTTGTCATTAGTCAGACATATTAATCACGACTCTCCTCTCTGAAGAGCTCCTCTACATTGCACACTAACTCCAGCCGCCTTGTTTCCGCCACCTAGTCTTTAAGAGCCACCGGTAAGGTGTGTAGCATCCTCAGTAATTGGGGCCCGGGACGCTTGCCCAAAAGCATAGCTTTGATCCAACGTTATCAGGCTTTTAGGATTGTGCTTCCAGGTTCCAAATATATCCTGAGCTGGATCTTTGACCTGATACACCGGTGCAGAATGAATGTTTAGACGCTTTTATCAGTCTAGCACTGATGGGCAGGAGAGACGGAGCTGGCTCACGCTGACATGGGTTTGGTGATGAGAAGCTCTACAGTAAGAGTGTGTGAAGTGCTGCCATTATCAGCTACTGATATTCATATATTAGCACTGATGTTCAAACTGCCATTCATTTAGGAACTCTTAGCTCTAATGACTCTTATGGAGATGAAATTGATTCAGTGTTAAGTTACACATGAGCAACTTATTTTGAAATATGTTTACCTAGCTCTTCTTCTGCATCATTCAGAATTTAATTGAGAATGCCTTTTAAACTACAATTCAATTCCTGAATTTGATGTGAGGTAGCAAACAGGATTCTTTTTTCTTTCTTTTTTAATTAAAGGAACTATTTTTAACTAGAAAAGAGGCATTTGTCAAGGCAAACTTTGTTTGAAGTTTTGGGGAGAAAGCTTTTTGAAAGTTTATAGGCCTTATGAAGGGATAGAAAGACAGTCGGATGGGTAGATTGGTGGATGGATGGATGGATATATGTATGGATAGATAGATGGCTTGGATGGATAGATGGGTGGATTAAATGTAGTAAAATTGCAAGTCAATAAATACCTCTTTCCGTCGTCAAAATTCCAATTCAGCTTCCTGTGGGGTGTGTCCAATTCAATTCAAATTCACTCTCATGAACTGAAATTGAGTCAATTCTTCAGTTCTTAATCTTGCACAACACTGGTGCTGAGACATCCATATTTTTGAAGTTTTTGAGTGTTTGTCAAATAATGATTAACAGGTTAACATATTTAACATTTAATAATGAGATTTTTTATTTCTGTACAAATTGTCCAGATACATTTTTGGGTCCACCTGTGTACCTGCGCTTGTACCTGTTTTGATATTTCTTGGGTTGGTCATGAATGCTTTCATGCAGGAATGTTTTCAAATGTGTGTTTGTTCTCAGGTGCTTGAGGACAATGATTACGGCCGTGCGGTGGACTGGTGGGGTCTTGGTGTGGTCATGTATGAGATGATGTGTGGCCGACTACCTTTCTACAATCAGGACCATGAGAAGCTCTTTGAGCTCATCCTAATGGAGGACATCAAGTTCCCCAGGACCCTCTCTGCTGATGCCAAGTCCCTTCTGTCAGGCCTGCTCATCAAAGATCCCAATAAGAGGTACAAACTGCACGGCTGGTCTAACCCAGTAACAGTCATAACAATATTGATCTATATTCTTTATGCATTTCAACTGGTCTTTCTGTATTTCACTTCAGTTACAGCACTTATTTAGATAGGAACTAACTAGTGTAAGTTCATAAGTTGTCTTCTGACTAAATACATGTGGCTTCCTTTTGTTTTCCTGTCAAGACTTGGTGGAGGTCCGGATGATGCTAAGGAAATTATGCGACATAGTTTCTTTGCTGGAATTGACTGGCAGGATGTCTATGATAAAAAGGTAATTGAGAATTTATGCTGTCATGCTTTCACCACTACACATAAAGGTGCTCTCAGTATTATTTTTTTTATATCTACATGGATGCAATATCATGGAAAAGCAAGTTTTTAAGTCACTGATGCCATTATAGAAAATTCAGACATGATTTTTCATCATTTTAAACTTTTTTTTTTTTAATGTGCTATTCATTTTTGTGTTTACTGAGGAAAAAACAGTAAAATTTTAATTAAAAGTGCACACAACCAAAATACTTACATGTTGAGACAGAGGTTCTGTGTCTCAGTGCACTAATAGGTCACTGTCAGTTGAACAGCCTTCACAAATAGCACAATGGTTGGCAGAGGAGGTGCGGTTCAGAGATGTTAGATCGAGCCCTCCAGCTCGCCATACTATATGCAGTGTCAGATCTGCACAAACAGGTGCTGTTTTTTTTCATCCCCATCTCTTCCTTCCTCAGCTGATGCCTCCCTTCAAGCCTCAGGTGTCGTCAGAGACAGATACCAGATATTTCGATGAAGAGTTCACAGCTCAGATGATTACAATAACCCCTCCTGAAAAATGTGAGTTTGTCTGATGTTTGTTGTTTATCTCTGCATACATTGACAATTCTGTAATGACACAAAAGCGTATTCTAGAAAGCATGCCTGATATTGTGCTGACTTAATTATCTTCTAATTTTTTGGCACAAATCCCGATCACCTGAAAACTATAGGTGTTACTTTTGAAAGTGAAAGTGACATGATTGTGTAGCCAAGTATTGTGTCCCATACTCGGAATTTGTGCTCTGCATTTAACCCATCCAAGCGCACACACACAGCAGTGAGTAGTGAACACACACACACACACTGTGAACACAGCCATTTTTGCTGCGGGTTCGGTGCCTTGCTCAAGGGTCTCACCTCAGTCGTGGTATTGAAAGTGGAAGAGAGCGCTGTACATTCACTCCCCCCACCTGCCAGTACCGAGACTCAAACCCCGCAACCTTTGGCTTACAAGTCCGACACTCTTACCATTAGGCCACGACTGCCCCACAAAAATGATGTTAACACATAATAATTTTTGGAAATGTCATCAGATTTGAATTTTGCATCCAGAGTCCCAGAATCTGAAGACTAATATATAAAGATGTTAAAATGTATAAGAGTGCAGTAACTCTGAAACAAGTAGCTGAAAAAAATTTATGTCAGTAAGATTTTTTTAAAGAAATCTATACTTTTATTTGGTAAAAAGGACACAATGAATTGATCAAAAGTGATTATAATGATACAAAAGATTTCTATTTCAAATAAATGCTATTTTTTTTTTAACTTTTTAATTAACAAAGGATTGTAAATATCATGGTATCAGGGATCCACAGAAATATTAAGCAGCACATTTTTTTTAAACACTGATAATAATAAATGTTTCTTGAGCAGCAAATCAGCATATTAGAATGATTTCTGAAGGATCACGTGACACTGAAGGCAGAAGTAACCACTGCTGAAAATTCAGCTTTGCATCGCAGGAATAAATTACATTTTAAAATATATTAAAATACAATACAATTTTAAATTGTAGTAATATTTCACATTATTACTATGTTTACTATATTTGTGATCAAATAAATGCAGCCTTAAGAGCATAAGAGACTTCTTTCAAAAAACATTTAAAAATCTTACCAATCCCAAAAGTATTACCGGTGTTTTATACATGAACTTTTGTTTTTCAAAACCATACAAAACCAATATGAATACTAAATACATTAAAAAAAAATTCAGTCCCTCCCTAGAAGATTAGCAACAGTGTTGAATTTCTCTCATCTGTACACTTACGTGACTGTGGACCAAAGGCTCAAATCTTTTAAATAATATATCCTTTTAAGCCTTTCCATCTGAGCCCTGTCATTTTCAGAAATCTCTTTTAGTCAGAAGAGCAGATTTTTTACATTATTTTAACTGACTGGAGGTCATTATCATTACATTTACATTTAGTCATTTAACAGACGCTTTTATCCAAAGCGACTTACAAATGAGGACAATGGAAGCAATCAAAATGAACAAGAGAGCAATGATATGCAAGTCCTATAACGAGTCTCAGTTAGCTTAACGCAGTACACGTAACAAGGTTTTTTTTAATTATATAATAAATAAAAAGAAAACCGAATAGAAAAAGAATAGAGCAAGCTAGTGTTAGAGACATTTTTTGCTTTTGTTAATTGTATAATAAATAAAAAGAAAACAAATAGATAGAATACAAAAAGATTAGAGAAGCTAGTGTTTTTTTAATAGAAAACAATCAGTTAGTAAATGAATAGAGTGCAAGTCTAAAAGGGGAATTTTTTTTTTTTAAAGAATAGAATTAGAATAGAGAATGCTAGAGTTAGAGGGTCAAATAAAGATGGAAGAGACGCACATCCATAATAAAATGTGCCGCAGACGGCTCTGGGGGGTGAATAAAGGCCTCCTGTAGCGAATCCATTTGTTTTTGTAAGAAAAATATAAATATTTCAAACGTAATAAACACTTTTCTCTCACTTTCGTTATCTGTCATACGCAGAAGCGGTTCCGGCGGATGACGCAGCACGCCGGCGTTGCGTGATTAGTGACGAATGCGAAGAGAGAACAAAACAAAAGGTCATGAATTAGAAGTACAAACCGAGGATTTGCAAAGAAAAATGTCGGTGGATTTCAATATAAGCCAAGAGGAGACTGGTTTTCCTTTGCTAAAGTAAGGAAACTTTGCTTCCTTTGCTCCTATAAACAAACTCGCGGCACTAGCATATCTCAGAGGCGCGCGCGCTGCGCATACGTGCTGCGTCATCCGCCGGAACAGTTTCCGCGTACAGATAACGGAAGTGAGAGAAAAAGTGTTTATTATGTTTGAAATATGGATATTTTTCTTACAAAA